AAAAAAATATGCCTTAAAACGTAACAAACAACACAGAATGCCACGGCCACTCGTATCCGGGGATGCCGGTCTACTACGGCGGCTATCCAATCTCCGTTGCAGACTCCTGCTCAGGCACATTTTTGTGTTTATTCAACACCCGCAGAGCCCGCCGGCGGTTTATACTGCAGCTCTGCTTTCTGATAGAGGGCGCGTTATCTGGCGTGATCAACAGTCTAAACAAGGCCAGTGCGCTCGGTCCCTCGGTCACGATGACTTGCGACTTCGTGCTGGTAAAACCTTCGAATGCTCCTTCAACTCTGGTATGGTTTTCAGGCACCTCCCAAATGTGAAATATATTATTTCAGAGATAGCTAACCTGGGACTATGTTGAACGGAACTTATCGTTTCTGGGAGGAGAGAGAGAGAGAGAGGTGAGAGGGGGAGAGAAAGGGAGAGACAGGGGAGAGAGAGGGAGAGACAGGGGAGAGAGAGGGAGAGACAGGGGAGAGAGAGGGGAGAGATAGGGGGAAAGAGAGAGGTGGAGAGAGGGGAGAGAGAGTTAGTGAGAGGGGAGAGAGAGAGGGGGAGACAGAGTGGGGAGAGGGGAGAGAGAGAGGAGAGAGAGAGAGAGCATTATCTGGCGTGATCATCAGTCTGGACAAGGCCAGTGCGCTCGGACCCTCGGCCACGATGACTTGTGACTGTACTCATACAACCATCTACAGTCCCCAAATATTTCCATCTACTCAGTTGCACTTACAAGGCTTGGGTCAACCCGTGGTATGGTTTTCATGCACTTTGCAAAAGCTGCCGCAAGCTAGTATCACCTCTTCCAGGCCGAGAACGTCAAAAAGTCACCTTCTTGATAAATCAATCATGGAACCCGTGTATAATGGTCGGAAAGCACTTACCACTCGGCCCATAGCATCGCCGGTATGTACGGATTATCGCCTTTAATTAATTCAGAGATAGCTAAACTGGGATTGATACTGAAACTATGTTGAGCGGACCTTAGTTACAGTTTCTGGGAGAGAGCAGATTATCTGGCATGGTCTTCAGTCTGAACAAGACAAGCACGCTTAAACACTCGGTCACGATGACTTGTAACTTCGAGCTGAATGAAAATTTTTACTTATAAATATAGTATAATTTAAAACTGTATGTATTTTTATTTCGCGGAGTGATCTAAATTTTTTTTAATACGAGTTCCCGAATATTCAGGCCGTTAAACAATCTAGAAAAACCCTTGAGAAAAATAATTGTCGAAAATACGAGAGTTGTATGTAAATCAATGTACTGAAAACAGTTCGAAAACATCACTTCCCCCACATCAAGCTCACCTTGTTTAAAAATGGGAACGACGTGCTGAAAATCTTTTAAAAATAGAATGTCGCCCACTCGTATTCTAGCCATGCCCAACACGCGATGGCTCGGAATGAAATCTCTTACTATAATTTAAAACCACACAAATAATACGTCACACAGTCAAAATATGAAAAGAAACTAAATACACCAAAACAAAACCCTCTTAAAAGTGGCTAAGAAATTGGCTGCAAGTGCTTGAGATAATTTAAGATATGAACAGTTTTTTGAGCTCCCTGACTCCCACCAAAGGGAAAAATGGAAGAACGCTGGAAAAAACAGGAATTTTTTTCCTCCTCCTTAATATTTAATGTGACGTCCCCCAGCCTTGCACATTCCTCGCTGCTTCGTTCGGGGGTCGCCTCTCCAAACGTGACGTCCGCCTGTCTGCGTCAGTCGTGTTGTCCCGTCCTGTGACGACCAACTGGCTTGGTATTGGTCGCGGCACCCAAATGTGACGTTCTAACCTTTTGGTGATTCGGATGGGAATCGGGTTAGATTCGATATCAGCCTCGTCGTTCCCAACTCGCTTCCAACGTCTGGTTACCAAAGTAACTGCGTTGATCTCCAGTCTGCCTACCCACGTTGTGAATTGATCTTAGACAGACAAAATCAATCAGTCGTCGGGGCCGTAATGCAGGTTGAGTTCGAAAATGGGGTGGTATCGCACAAATATGTATAAAAGAAAATAAAATAATAACTCAAAAGTTCAAAGATATCAAAAAGGATAACAATACTTTATATCTGGTTGCTGGATACATAGGACTGCGTCTATCTCCCGACCCGTTATATGGATTGTGACACGTTGTTTTTGTTAGGCGAGTTTTAACATCTTAAGTTGTCTGTTCTTTAAGAAACTGGTTCTTGGTGTGTCTTCAGGCGATAGTCGTAAAACTTATTTTGGTGGTATGAATCTAAGTCGCTCTTCAAAAATAAATTGTTCTTGGATTGAGGATGAGTTCGGAAGTTGCGCGAATCTTAGTCAGCTAATGCGAGGCGGGACTCACTTCAACTGCGAACTGGAAACTGGAAAACTGGAACTCCAACTGATTTTCGCTCGCTGCGACTTTGCTTATATGGACGCCGACCAAAATCGTGGTGGGCTTTGTCGGGGTTTGAGGTTCCCTGACAATTTCAAATCCACAATCCCCTTTTTTTTGTTTTCGGTCAGGAAAAATTTATTATTTCCATTTTGGAAGTCTTCTCTTCTATTCTCATATGGGTTTTTCCATACCCTCAGAGGGCGTCAACGATTTTCCTACTTCTTCGCAGTAACATCTCATACCTATCCTCTTTAATGAGTGGTAGCAGGCCTCCCCCCCTGCATCACATGATCACCTCCGCCTGGCTCTCGTTAACATTCATCCAATGGCCGATCAACAGTGAGGGTGTGATCAGACTTAAAAAAATCTTGCTCAAAGAAAAAAAAAAATTATCTTTTTTTTTTTTTTTTTTTCCTTTTTCTTTCTTTTCTTTTTATTCTCTTCTTCTCTGGCCCCCAACAGAACAATACGACCCGTAGTGTGATAACCTCAATTCCTATCCCAAAGTCACTTTCATCTGGACTTCGTCAATCAGATTTTCGCCAATTATCAGGTGGGTGTCATCTAGCGAAACACAGCCAACTTTTCCGATAAAATAGTTTCGCTGTTATCGCCAGATTTTAACACAACCCAGACACCTTGTCTAACGATATCTTTCCATCGACAAAGACTTAACCTATTTTCTTTGTTTTTTTTTTTTTTTTTTCAGCTCGTGTGTGATCAACGGGGGACCTATTAAATTTTTATCTCTGTAGTTTTCTGTGGAAGCCCCAAATAACATTCCCGTGACACAGTTAAATGTTGATTCTATTCTGTCCCGGAGTTTAGTTAGCCGATCTGGAACTTGTCAATTAGATTTTCGCCAGCACCAAGTGGCTGTTACCTATTCCCGATAATATAAGTCCGCCACCACGACACAGTTAATTTTTATCTATTTAGAATTCTCGACAATGGCAATGAAACCCTTCAGCATTTTTCATTATCAAATTTTAATTTCTTTCCCTTCTTTTCTTTCTTTTCCTTTCATCCCTAAATGGTGTCACATAACGAAATATGTTTAAAAGAAAGTTTGCTGCCCAAATATACATTAATATATATATATGAAATATTTTTGAGTTTTGACAAGTAGAAAAACACAATATTTATATATGTAAAAGACAATAGAAAAACTGTAATAGTTGCCGACGCGTTTCGTCCAATGTGGACTTTTTCAAGGCAAAAACGAACTGAATTTATTAAACAAAGTAACTAATAACAACAAAACAAAATGTCCTTAGCAAACTGGAAGAATTTAAAGAACATTATTTTCATACCATTTTTCATGCCTTGAAAAAGTCCACATCACACGAAACGGCAAGTATTACAGTTTTCCTATTGTCTTTTACATTTATAAATATATATATATATATATATATATATATATTGAACAATAAAAAAATATTAAAAAATTAAAATCTTCAGACACATTGGGTTGTAGATTAATATTCTTTCGTTTTTTTATCATTATTTCATTTAGATTCCTCGAATACTTTCGGCCAAAATGGCCATCATCAGGAGAAGAAATATTTCTGCTTGCTGGTAGCAGTGAACTACAGAAATGAATGTCTTGATGGAAAAAATGAACTTTTGTCTCTCATCTTCATTTGTTTTGTTTTTTTTTTTCATCTTTTTAACATGAATCTTTTAACATTTCTTGTGTTGGTCAAACAGTCTCTTTTAAGTTGTTATTTGAGATAAGAGCTGGATGGATCTATGCTTCTCTGAATTCCCCTGGTCAGTTTCACAGTTTTATTGGTTTCTGGATAGGGGATGTGTCTCTGTTAAGTGTTTGTGTGTGTGTTATTTGGTTCTTAGGGAATGAGTGAGTATGATATGTGTAAGCGTGTGTATTGCTGTGGGTGTGTGTTATTATTTGGCTCATGAAGGAGTGAGTGAGTATGATCTGTGTAAGTGTGTATATTCGTACATATTATATGTATATATATATCAACATATATATAATCATGTCTGTCTATATATATATATATTTTTTTTTTAAATAAAAATACAAAAATACTAAAAAATTTCGGATTGTTTACCTAACGAGTTCTTTCCTATTTTCTATATATTTTATTTTATATATATATATATATATATATATATATATATATATATATATATAATATATTTAAATGTTTTTTTTTTTATATATTTTTTTCACTTATATATATATATATAAGTTTGAAATATATAAAAAATTTTGGAAAAAATTTTTTTTAAACAATCCGAAATTATTTTATTTTATTTTTGTTTTTATTTTTAAAAAAAGTGCTCGATACAAAAGGCGACTCTTGTTTTGAAACATGAGAACTCTTATGTAGCGAAGAAATCATATTTTTAAATAAATATATAATATATATGTCCGTGTATAAATACATTCGATATAGTTGAGAGAGATAAAGAGGTTTTGGAAAGAAATATAAACAAACTAGCTAAATAGGTAAACAGATAGATAGATATTAAACAGTTGAATAGACTGAGACATATACAAATAAATTGACATAGGTATAAACCGAGTGTGATCGATACATACATATTTACAGTGTCTTAGCTATTAGAGACAGGTAGACAAAAATGAACAGAGACACCTTCATACGACGAGATTCGATAGACATAATAAAAGCAGAAAAAAAACCGACACGTACAGCGACGATTACACACGACTGTGATTGACGTTCTAGCCAAAATCTTCAATTCCCGCCATGTGGCTTCCAGGCAATTTCAATGAAATAAGCTAAAAGGAACTTATTTGGGCAAAGATTCTTCGACGTAGCAGAGATCAGACAATAAATTAACCCGTGTCTGCTGTGATGATTCTGGGATTTGTTCTGATTTCTTATTTAAAGTCGTGGTGCACGTTGGAAATGTGCGAGGTTTCATTACACGATTTTCGTTTACTTAATGACAATGAAGAATAAATCTTTATTTCGCACACACTGATATTTACGAAATTTATTGGAGGACAAAGATGTCAAATCAGAAATGGCAGGAATCTATCTATCTATCTCCATATATTTATCTATCTATCTATCTATCTATCCATCTATAATCAGTTTTCTCTTCAGGATTTCATCTATCTATCTATCTATCTATCTATCTATCTAACGCAGTCTCTTCAGTATTATCTATCTATCTATCTATCTATCTATCTGTCTATCCATCTATCAATCTATCGTTCATTATTCACTATCTATCTCATCTATCTATCTATTATCTTCCTTATCTGTTTTAAACATGATCAATATCATCATTCTATATATTTATATATCTATCTATCTATATATCTATCTATTTATCTATCGTTCTATTATTCATTATTCACTATCTATCTATCTATCTATTATCTATCTATCTATCTATCTATCCTGTTCTTTTCAAAATACATTTTTTCTCTTTATAATCTATCTATCTATCTATCTATCTATCGTTCATTATTCACCAATTATCTATCTATCTATCTATCTATCTATCTATCTATCTATCTATCCTAGATTTTATCTCTTTTAAATCTATTCATCCATTAATCTAATAATCATTATCTATCTATCTCGCAAATCATCTTTCTATTATCTATCTATCTATCTATCTATCTATCGTATCTATATCCTGTTCTTTCTCATGCTCTTTTTAATCTATCTATCTATCTATCTATCTATCTATCTATCTATCGTTCATTATTCAACATTATCTATCTATCTATTTATCTATCTATCTATCTATCTATCTATCCTGTTTTTTTTCATTTTTTTTTTATCTATCTAATCATCTATCTATCTATCTATCTATCTATCGTTCATTATCGTTCATTTATCTATTATCTATCTATCTATCTATCTATCTATTTATCATTATTCTATCTATCTATCTATGTATCTATCTCTATTCATCTATCTATCTATAAAATCCTGTTCTTATCTCATTCTCTTTAATCTATCTATCTATCTATCTATCTATCTATCTATCGTTCATTATTCACTATCTATCTATCTATCTATCTATCTATCTATCTATCTATCTATCTATCCTGTTCTTTCTCATTCTCTTTTTAATCTATCTATCTATCTATCTATCTATCTATCTATCTATCTAATCTATCGTTCATTATTCACTATCTATCTATCTATCTATCTATCTATCTATCTATCTTATCTATCCTGTTGTTTTTTATCATTTTTTTAATCTATCTATCTATCTATCTATCTTATCTTGTTATCTATCTATCTATCTATCTATCTATCTATCTATCTTATCCTCTTCTTATCTATCTATCTATCTATCTATCTTATTCTGTTCTTATCTATCTATCTATGCCCACTTTTATCTAACTCTTTTTCTCATTCTCTTTACATCTATATTTCTGTCTAATTATGAATCGTGCAGAAATAGAATGGGTAGGCTTCACAGAAAAGCCAATTAGATTCAAAGTTAATGTAATTATTAACAAGACAAAAGTTGCGTTCACCAAAATATAAAAACATTGCAAAGATGAAGTGAATAGGATTTTATTTTATTTTATTTATTTATTTATTTGTAATCATTTCATGCTAAGCAAGGTAATAAAACCTCTCAGACACGCAGGCTTATTTATTGCGAAAGGACATGAGAAATATATTAGAAACGAGAGAGAACAAATAAAAGTACAGGAATTTTAATGCCTAATTTAACTATTGATACTGCATTTAAATTTTTGAAGCTCAACTTTTACAATCAAAACATCCCGTAAATTAAAATGGACGCTGACTGACATCACTCGATCTCGTTTTCTGCTTCTTGTTTTTAGTATTTTAATATGGCGGAGATTACTTAAAATTTTCATTCTCAACTGTAACAACCGTTCCGAAGTGAAATTGCTTTACAGAATATTAAAATCTGGACTCCCAATTCACTATTTTTTTGTTTGGGCCCCCAGTAATATTACATGGGCCATCAGAATCAATATGCACTCAATTTGAAAATCAATGAACTAAACAGTTAACCTTACTATCGTTTGGAATTTCTTAAATCTCTCTCGTAAAACATACTTTTATTTTTTGAAAATATACTTCTCAAGACCCGCCTTATTTCTCTTGATTCTATTTTTGGGGGTTTCTTTCCTAATCTTTTGTTTAAGTAAGTGTCGGAATGCAGCGTCGCTTCTTGATTATTTCGTTACTTTCCGCTCTAGTTATATGCTGTCCGTTTCAGTGTTGCTACCGTTGGATGTCTTCAAGTGTTACAGGTTTTTGATATTTGGTAAAATCTATTCTCTCTGATTGTGTAGCGTCAGTCTAGAAGTCCCACTGAACTATTGCCTTCTTTAAGAAGTCAGTTTTAATCATTAATATGAGAAAACTGTTTTAGAAATGTGGTCGCTACAACGTTTCTAAAAGAATCTCTGTGTCGTGCCAGAAAGTTTTTTCTCGTCTGAGTGCATCCTTCAAATCTATAAATCAACCATCCGTCCTTGCATAGAATATTGCTGCCATATATGGTCTGGTGCTCCCGCTGTACGTCTCGAGGTCCTTGACAAAATCCAGAGACGAATATTCAATATGATAGGTCCTGATCTAGCATCTAGTCTACAATCGCTATCCCACAAACGTGCCGTGGCTTCCCTGTGTCTCTTTTACAAGTATTTTCACGGCAACTGTTCCGACGAGCTACTTCCGCTTGTTCCAGGACTACATAAATTTAAACGTGCTACCACATCTCGGTCCCACCCTTTCACTGTCAAAACGGTTAAATGTAACCGTCTTCTGCTCAAACAGCTTCTTCTCTCACACTTCTCATCTGTGGAACTCCCTTCCTCTTACCTGTTTCCCCGATGACTATGATCCTCAAATATTCAAGTGTAATGTCAATCGACATCTGACACCCAGAGCTTTTTCCCACCGTCCCTTCTTGTATCCTTTCTTCAAATACGCCTCCTTACTCTTGTTCCCAATCCTCTGTAACCCCTTGCGCGCTAGTGGCACTTCCGCTTTGCTTGGGGTGAATTGCCTTAAAAAAATAAATAAAAATTGAGGCCGTCCTAAAAATCCATACGGGAGTCTAGACCGGAAGCGACTATTTAAGAATATGAATCAATTTCGTAGGTTAATAGGTTCATTGTAGCACATCTTCCGGTGTTTAAAATGGACCTGTTGAAAGGCCGTTCTTTTGTTTAATTTCCTTTAGTAAATTTGTTATAAATAATCCATGGGCTGTACATAAAGCTTTTAGATTTTATTCATTCCTTGTTGTGAATGATATTTAATTATTTATTTGTGAGTTTTTTTTCCTGTAGGTATTACCCGCTTTAATTTCTGAACGATGACAATCCCGAATGATATTTAATTATTTATTTGTGAGTTTTTTTTTCCTGTAGGTATTACCCGCTTTAATTTCTGAACGATGACAATCCCGAATGATATTTAATTATTTATTTGTGAGTTTTTTTTCCTGTAGGTATTACCCGCTTTAATTTCTGAACGATGACAATCCCGAATGATATTTAATTATTTATTTGTGAGTTTTTTTCCTGTACGTATTACTCGCTTTAATTTCTGAACGATGACAATCCCTATTCATTGGTAATAACTAATCTATATAATGAAAACAAAAACGGATATTCTTCTTCTTTTATATGCCGTGTACTTTCAGGGCGTAGGTGATCACAACTCTCCACAACATCTTATGCTTTGCAGCTATCCTCTACCTTTATAAGAGCCAGGTCAGGCCGAAAATGGAGTAGTTGTCATATCTGCCCGGGAGCTGCCCAGTCCTGACTTGATAGAGTTCAAAAGCGTCTCCGTGTCCTTGTTGGAGGAGAATTACTTTCCATTCTCCAACCTCTCTCTCTTTGGCAGGATATGGCGATCCTATCGCTACTTTCATGAAAAGTTCTCGGACGAACTACATTCCTTGGTTCCGTGTAGGATCAGCCATGCCATCATATTATAGCAAACCAGTCACATTCTCTCCCTATTCCATTGGTGAGAAGTATGTTTTTCTGTCGAATAGTTACTTCCTGCAAACCACTACCTTATGGAACAGTCACTCATATTTCCCCGATCATTACAATCTTAACCTGTTCAAGTCTAGAGTCAACCGTTTTCTTCGTCTCTATCCATATAAACTAACCCTTAACTTAAGCGTCGACAGCCAGTGGCATCCGGGCCTTGTACAGGGTGAAGTTTACTATAATCAAAAAGCTCTTAGTAAGGTTTCATTTTTCTCTATACTTCCCATTGCCTGATCTGTCATCCACGTACACAAGAAGGTAAGTTACTGTTTTTTTGTCTCCCTGTTTACCTTGCTACTCACACGACATATTGATATGTCTTGTGGGTGTCAAATTCTCCAAGCTCTTTTTCCTCTTTATGCGTCATAGAAGTTTCAATTGTTTTTTTGTTTTGTTTTTTTCTGATTCTAACTGTTCTTTTTTATTCCATTATTCTTTAAAATATCTTGTTTCTCACCCACCTGCCCAAGTTATTCTCAGCACGATTCTGTAGAACAACATCTCTCTTTGCTTAAAGTCTTCTCTTCATCTGAGAGAAAATTGATGGACATATACAATGTTAATAGATGATGGGGATACTTGTCGAAAAAAACATCGAATAATAATAGTGTAGCAAATTCCCCATAAACCCAGTATAAAACGGGCTCGGGTAGCTGTTTCCCGAGATGAGACTCTGCCCTCTGACATAGCCTCGTCTGGGGATCCTCTCTGCCCGAAGGCGAAGAGTTCGACTAGCTTAGCTGGAGACGAATCTCCAACTAAATGCCGAAGAAAAGTTCTTTACCCCACCACCCCGCGAGGCAGGATGCGGCACAAGGCCTTTTTTAATGCGGAGTCAAAACCGAGCCCTTTTGCTCGGGATAAAATTCCCCGTAGACTCAGTATAAAACGGGGCCGGGTAGCTGTTTCCCGAGATGAGACTCTGCCCTTTGACATAGCCTCGTCTGGGAATCCTCTCTGTTCGGAGGTAAAGAGGATGGCCAGCATAGCTGGAGACGAATCTTATACAGTTTTTACTACTGCATTTATGTGAATGGGGACATTATCGTCCGTAGATATGCTAGAACAAATAGTAACTGGTATAATAAAATACTGGGTGAATTTAAACAGAAATTAGGGTTTTATTGTTTTAGAATCACCCAATATTTATAATAGCTCGTCTTCAAAAACAACAACAAAAAAAAGAAAGATCCTGAAACTAAAACAGCATAGCTGAGGATGTTACTTCTAAAATATTGGCAGGAATCTAATTGTTGTTGTCAATGTACGTGTTCTTGTTGCGAAGGTTGGTTTCTTTTTATGATTTTTAAAAGTTTCATTTTAATATTCTTATTTCTCTTCTAAAAGAAAAGAGAAAAAAAAAGATGTTTTTTGCCAGGAATATTCTCGTGGAAAATTACAGTTATTAAAAATCGATAGAGGCGGTTATAATGTTCTTATTAATTTAATTATATTTTTTTATCTTATCCTTTCTTTTTCTTCTTTTTGCAACTGTCGTCCATTTTCTTT